GAGTTCATCACATCATGAAAATTTAATGAAAATGTTGTTATCCAAATTCATTATGCAGATAGGCTTGAGAGAGAGAGAGAGTGAGAGAGAGAGTGAGAGCATCTGAAAAAGAGAGAGGAAGAGCATACATACCTAGTTATGATAGCAAGTTAAGTAAATTTTGAGATTAATTTAATTTCTCCCTAGTATAACAACAACTGGCCCATCAAACACAAACACACACACACGTGACAAAAACACAGCAAACATGTGATTGCAATGAGAGCAGGCAAAGGATGGTACTAAAAAACAGCATTATTTTTGCACCAACCTAGTAAATTAAAAAACAGAATTTACAAACATTTCAAATGATTTACACAAAGAAAATACATAAACACAAACAAAAATAAACACGCAAACACACACGGACACACACACACACGCAGACCTAATATTCTGATAAGATATAGATGGTAGTAGCAGTAGTTGGTTAACTCTAATGATACAACCTAAAATACTACTGCCACTACAACTGCTGTTGATCACAGGCTGTTGGTGTTGTTGCTGCTGCTGTAGAGACATGTGTAACTTATTGTAAGCCTCTTTAAATGCACTTTGAACACATGAGAATCTATAGGAACCTCTGGCCACATCATTGCCTGTTTGGTTTGTCAGATCAGTTAAGTTGATAACAATTTGGAAAATATGTTACAATTATGGTAGTACATCATGAATAAGATTATAGTTTAAATATATTAATAAGCCATTACAAATGTAAATTATGTACAATCACAGTATTACATCAGACTTTACATAACAATAGAATAACAATAACTTTATAATTGTAGAAAATACATAACAATTAATTGACCAGAGTGGCAATATGAAACAACGTTCTTGCTTTCTAAAAATATATTTTATGCCTGAAATCCTTCAAGTTATGTTACGTTTAACATTGCCCTTTCAAAAAAAATCAATAAAAAATGTTGACTTGGTAGATGTATTAAATATCTATATGTTATTGTATGCATGCATGTATGTATTTGTACCTGTGTATGTATGTGTATGTATGCACATATGTACCTATGTATGTCTGTCTCCCACAATTTTCTTAGTATCAAAAACCAGAACAACAGATTTGGTGGTTGATATTAACAATATTACATCAGGATCAACATTGATAACTTTACGACTACCACTAATTACAACATCATAATTAGCACTAAATCATCACAGCTAATTATAATGTTAAAATTAGGCACTAACTAGGGCAGAGGGGATCTCGGATAACGAGGGCATCGCTGACAAAAGGTTTGTGCAATAGACAGCACGGACTTACCCCAATTCCGAAAGTTCGGTAGTCGAAACGGTAGGCAAAGTATTCGAGGAAATCTAGTAGAAGGGCAGCGGGGGACAGACTTTTTGATGTGACGGAGTTAGGGTGGATTGTCAGCTGTTTTTTTAGTTTGGTAAGAAGGTCGAGTAGTAAAAATTATTGTGAATTTGATAGAAAATAAAACGGACCTCAAGATAATACAAAATGAGCAACGTGAGACTGTATGAGCTTATTCCTCCTGAGTAGACCTCATTCAAGTCTTTGTCAATCAGCAATTGTTTCAAAACTAGGAGCAAACTTTTCATTGGGGTCCACTGATTTAGTGAGGCCTGTTAAGGGTTAGGGATGTGCTGACTGATAGGTGATTGATGAATGACGTGATTATGATATTTAGTCAGAATAAATCAAACTCACAGTGATGAAGATGGCACTTTTAGTTGCATTATCAATATTGAATCCTATATCAACTTTGACATCTGTTTGCCTGTCCATCAGCTTTATAATTGGTACCTGTTGAATGTTAATGTATCAGAAAAATAAAAAGTTGAAACACACATGTAAACAGAATGCACACAAACATGTCAGGTGAGCACATTGCAACTATACAAATTCAATCTATACACACATATACAACTATATTGCATCTAAACTAAATATGACACATGACAATGCTTAACATTAAAAATGCGTTAACATGTTATATTATATATTATTATATTATGTTATATTAACATGCAAAGCCATTAAAAAAAACAACAATTTTCAAAATATTCATACTCACTGTAGCATTATAGAGAACAAGAATTTTATCCTCATCACACACTTGAGCTTCCACAAGAGCTTTCTTCAAAATATCAAATGGAGTGACAGGGCACTTATGAAAAACTACAATATCAATATCACTTGAAGGTAGGTACAACCCTGTTTTGAAACTCCCAAACACTTCAACTTTTACTGGGTCTATGCAGCTTTCAACTGCTGCTCTAATTCTCGTTACAACATTCTCTCTTTCTTTGTTGGCAGTTTCAGTTGGTTCCATACACTTGCAGAAATATCCAATCTCACTGTCTAATCTGGACAAATTTTAATCAAAATTTCAATTATATTTTTGAAAATATTTCAAGATGTAGAATTAGAAATGACCAACCTAGAAAGACCCTTCATTTTTTTATTCTTTTTTGGCCCAAACTGTTGCGAGTAGATTTGATTTGGAATGTAGATGCCATTGTTGCCAGATTGAATTGCGATTTGGCTGGCATATTGTGGTAGAAATTTGTTGTAAAGATTGCCGTTGTTGTAAGTAAATGGTGGGTTCATGAAGTTGTTGGGGTTGCATGACGTCATACGCGAATACACGTAGCGGTGGGTCTCAAACCCTCGACTATGATATTCGAGTACCGCATGGCTCATCTTCTTTCAATCCGGCCAAACACAAAACCCAGACAACCTTTGGTTTGTAGTATTGTGCTTCTCCTAATTTGTTGTGGTGAAAATGAAAAATATATCTTTAGTATGGCAGATATAAAATACACACAAAAACAAAAAGTGAATTTTTAAAAAATAAAATCAAAAAGTTAGAAAAATTAATTTCCAAATAAATTTTTGACTGGAATTTTCAACTAGCGGTTTCGCAATCACAGCACCTTACTAGTTGGTCAGGTTTCGTTATTGCACGATGGAGATTTCGGCAAGTAAAACAATGCCTCCGAAATAAAAAAATAGAAATTAATGAAGACGTGCTGATGAAAAAAGATGTTAAGTGAAATAAATTAAAAAATAAAATAAAGTTATTTTGCTTGTTAACGAATAATTGCTAGTCCTTCCTTTTAAATTAAATAAATTACCGGAAGCAAAATCAAAATAAAAGTTTAAAGGCCAAAAGCAATGCATCGTTTAGCTTAGGAGCCGCAAAAATACTCAGGACGGATTATTTCAATTAAGTTTTTAATTGAACGCTTAATGTAATTATCCCAGAAATAATTCAAATACTGGAATACTAAATTTAAATAATTATACCAATTATATAGCGAAGACCAATGTTAACTTTAAACATTGAGCCTCGATTACTATAGAAACGAGATTGACAAAAATGTTTTCAAACGGAGGTATTGAGTTATGAATTGAAGAAAATGAGTAAATTTTTCAACTAAAAAAGTAATTTGACGGAAAAATGAGATATTACACACCGTACGAAGTCCTAGCCCACAATACTTATGACGACCTTTGGGTCTCCTTGCTCGGAAAAGTTTACAATTTGAGCCAACTGAGCGAGAAAAACAAAGGTTTAAATTTTAAAATAAAGAAAAGTTGAAAATAAACATTCACTTTGTATCATTAATAAACAATTAATATCTATAAATAAGTCATCAGTTGTTTATTATAACAATTTGTTTATCACTAATTAATAAAAAATTGATACACTGTCCAGGAAGTATCCTCATGAAACCAATTATAGAAGCAGCAGGAAAAGATATTTCGCATTGGTTCGACGAAATAACAGAAGAAGTATGTACAGAATGAAAACAATTATTTATAAATTACAGTTTTAAAATAAAATAACATTTTTTAAACTTTAAACAATACAAAAATTGAATTTCCAGCCCCGACGTTACTTGGACCCCTTGACAAACATTTCCTTAATTTACACCCCGTACGGCAGATACGTGCACGTACCACCGCCATACCCGTCATCCGATTGGGCAAACGATTTTGGTACCCCGTGGTGGAAAGACAGTAACTACTACATAGGCCACCTAACGAAGAAAACAAGAAAGCTGAAAATCATCAACACTCTCACATCTCAACAAGACGTTATAGAGGCTAGCACAACTATTTATACAAATCTTTACCTACTTGCACGAAATAACCTGTGATAATATCCAGTGAATGTATTGAATGAACATTTATAAAACAGTTGAATTTAAATATATAGGTTTGTTCTGAAGAAACGATAAACGAAATATTGAGAAGGTATTTAGCTTACAATCTGCATGCAAACAGTTACACATGGAAATATGACGGAGTGGTGCTGGATATGAACAAAACTCTTGAAGAGAATGGAATTAAAGATGACGATTTCGAATTTTATAACCTAAAAATGGATGATACGGAATACTTGCAATACGTACATCTCTACTTTAACGATGACCTCACAGTTATTGACTGAATTCACTTTAAACCAGTTGCAACGTGGGCGAACTAACACTTGCCCTAGTTTAAAAGGTTATCAGTCAAAACACAAAAACGAAAAAAATCAAAGCCATGTTGTTCTTTAAAGGTCAAAAGTACAAAAATGAAATAAAATCAATGGAATTACAATGAGTAACTTTCAAATATGTTAAATATTCATTCTTTGTTTGCTAATTCATCCATACATTCATTCTCTCAATCACTCATTCCATTATTCATCCATCCCCCATTAGTATAATTTTATATACATTAGTAACAAAATTATAACACCTAACATAATTCAACTAAACAATATATATATATATACATAATAAACATCGTCGTAATGACATACGTGCGTTAGAGCTAAATGAATATTGATAATTAATGAACAATTTATTAAACTTTATTATTGATCAATTAACTAAAATTAACAAATCAAAAACTAAAAAATAAATGTAACAAATGTAATTTATAACATCTTTAAATACACGTACACACACACGCACATATATATACATATATATATTTGCATGATTAAAATTATAAAAGGAAAAATAAAAAAGTTAAAAGTGTGTTTACTTAAAGTGTATGTAGATAGATAAACAAGTAAAAACGAGTATCACATACAAAACTCCCACACACACACACGCACACACACACATATATATATATACATATACATATATATATCCACATATTTATACAAACATGTATAGACATATATACATACATATTTATCAATGGAATATAAGCAATCATAATGAAGAAACATGCATTATATTATATTATATATATATATATATATATATATATATATATATATATATATATATATATATATATATAGCAACGTATAGCAAATACTTGTACATATATAATCTGTTGTATGTTGAAAATATCTATCTATAATAGTTACATTATGTACATAAATAAATTATTAATTATTTGTTATTATGAGTGGGCTAGGATTGTCTTCACTAATTGTTCATCTTTCAGTTTCAGTTAATTATTGTTATTACCATTGCTGTTACTATTATTATTGTTGTTATTGTTGTTGTTGGTAGTGGTAGACGTATTGTTGTTGTTGTTGTCAGATTTTGAAAATATAACTGGATGATGGTGAATTAACTGTTGCTGATGTTGCTGTTGTGATGGTTGCTGCTGATGTTGTTGATGTTGTTGTTGAGCTTGTTGTGGCTCCTTTAGCTTGAGAAGCAGTTGCTGTTGCTGAAGTTGTTGTTGCAACTGCTGCTGTTGCTGCTGCTGTTGCTGCAGCTGCTGTTGATGCACCTGCTGCAGCTGCTGTATCTGTTGGTGGAGGTGTTGTAGTTGTTGTTGTTGCTGTTGTATTATTTGCTGTTGTTGTTGTGCCAGGAGTTGTTGTTGCTGTTGTTGTTGCTGTGTTTGCATCACATGCTGCTGTGATTGCATCTGAAGTTGATTGGCTTGGATGGATTGTTGTTGCTGCTGCAATTGTTGATTCTGTGATGTCTGAACCTGTTGTAACTGTTGAGTTGATGTCTGGATTTGTTGCTGAGTTTGCTGAATTTGTTGCTGAAGTTGTTGATGTGCAGTTAACTGCAGTGGCTGCAAGGAAAGTGTTGACTGCTGCTGCTGCTGATTCATCTGGTTGAGTACTTGTGGTTGATTGTTTTGCTGCTGCTGCTGTTGTTGTTGCTGCAGTAAATGTTGTGCAATAGTCAGTTGATGAGAATGTGGATTGTTGCGAGTTTGTGTCACTCCAGTTTGGTTATGAGATGTTGTGTTGTTGCTCTGCTGCTGCTGTTGGGATGTTGTGGCAGTTGTTGTAGCTGCAGTTGTATTTTGCTGTGTTGTGGTAGCACCGTTGTTGCTACCAGCACCACCATTACTCGCAGTAGTTGTGTTGTTACAATTTGTAGTTGCAGTACTACCCATAAACTGTTGTTGTTGTTGCTGTGAATTTTTCTTCCTGCCAGCCTTAGGCCTGTCCTCCATGTGCACTCTCAGGTGTTTCTTGAGATGCTCTGCCTGTGAGAAGTGCTTCATGCAGATGTTGCATGCGTGAGGTCGTTCCCCTGTGTGGATCTGCATGTGGCGCTTCAAGTTGCCCGCCACTGTGAACCGCTTGCAACACACTGTGCACTCAAACGGACGTTCCCCTGATTTCAAAAGTATTTATATTGATTCCATTAGTTTTAAATCAAAAAATGTTCAAAGTTACTTCAAGGAAATAAAATGAAATAACCTGAGTGAGTCCTCTGATGTGGTAGCAGTGCACCAGCATGGGAGAACTGTTTGTTGCAGAGGGGGCAGAAGTAGGGCTTCTCTCCTGTGTGAGTCCTGATGTGCCTCTTGCAGTTGTCCAGGTACTTGAACTGCCTGTGACACTCCGAACACTCGTACATTTTGTTGTCTAAGATTAATGCCTCTGGGATCGAACCACTGCTTGACTGAACTTGCCAAACTTGCTGTTATTTGTTATAATTGAGTAGGTGATGCTTTTGTTAGATTATAATAATGTGAAATCTATTTTTCCAGACACTTTAAATTAATTTTTGTTGCCATTTGGAAAAATTAAAATCAGGAATTTGACTGTTATTTGAGCTGTTATTTGTTGTAATTGAGTAGGTGATGCTTTTGTTAGATTATAATAATGTGAAATCTATTTTTCCAGACACTTTAAATTAATTTTTGTTGCCATTTGGAAAAATTAAAATCAGGAATTTGACCCAAACTATTATTATCACTTATTATATAAAATTAGATAAAAGGTAAATTAAAGTACTTGGGGAAGGCAAGACAACTTGATACTATTCTTCCTATGCCCTCCGTTCATATGAACCTTTTGGTGTTTTTTCAGATGTTCAGATTGGGTGAATCTTTTGGGACACTGCTGGCAGGCAAACTGTTTTTCACCTGTGTGAATTAGCATGTGACGCTTCACCCCGTCAGACCTGGCAAATCCCTTGTTGCAGACTGTGCACTGGTGTCTAGATCGTTTGTTCGGGTTGTTGTTGCTAGATCTTGTTTTAGTAGTGGTTGGCTGGTGTTCAATTTTTAGATCTTCGATGCACTGAGGTTTCGTTTCGGTTGTATCATCTTAATTTTTATTTTGGGGAGACAGGAAAGAGTGAACCATTGAAAGTATTTGTTGATGAAAGCACGAAAAATTAAAACAGTGTAAGAACTTAGATCGGTTTTTTAAAGAAAATATCAGAAAAAATACCAACAAAATGGGTTCTGTATGATTCGGAAGTCACTTGTCATAGTTGATGTGACGCAAGGCAAACTGATTGAAAAAAATTAAATTTCTTTTGTTTAATTGAAAAATAATCATTTCATTAATAATGTTATCTTAAAAAATAGAAATACGATGAAATTTAATCATATAAAAGTAAATAACACTAGAAACATACTCCATGTTTTTAAAAACTATAAATCGTGTAAAGCATTAAAAAGTCGCCCTGGAAATAATTTTTAGGAAACTTAATGATCTTAAGTTTAAAAATATATAAAATTTATTAAAAATTAAATTAAATATCACTAAATATTTTTTTGGAGGGCAAAATTAACGTAAAAAAATCTACCTTAATTTTAATTTTCTCCGGTCTTATAGCATTCGCCGCTAGAGCTTACTCCTAACAAGTATAACACATAACATTTAAAAATTTCAATTTGAAATCGCTTCCCGTTTTCATTTATCATTTATTTACTTTTAATCATTTGTGGTAATAAACTTTAACGATGGAATTATCAGTTTGGGGAAAGCATTGGGGCCTGCCGTCGATTGACACTGACTGCCTAATCACACTAGTTAGTGTCGTGAAATGAAATTGCTAGAAATAGAATGAAAGGAAAAAGTAGCATCAGTCATATTTTCTAGTTATCAATTACATTACAGAGTAAGTAAATACTAAATAGTATTTAGTAAATACTAAATAGAATTTAATTAATTTAGGTTAGGTTAGATTCATTAGCATTAAAAATTAAAAAATTAAATAAAATGTTTTTTTTAACAAATGAAATTGGGCATACTGTTTCTTTAGTGTTTAATTTTTCATTATAATAATATCGTTTTACTTTTTAATTCATACATTTTGCAGGCTTATTGCCAGTTTTCCGACATCCCCTCATTGACAGTGCATGACATATCAAGCAAATGGACCTCATCAATACGTGAGTTTAGTTTGTTTGATTAGTAGGTAATCAGTTACTTCTGTTGTTACCCCACTAATTAATAAACTGTTGATCACTAAAATCTTAATTTTTTTATCAAATATTCTTATTATTAAAATTTTAAAATCTTGCTTCTGTTGTGAGTTAAAAATAAACATTCTAAATTGTAATTTTTAGATTGTTTTCCTGTTTTAACTCAGAAAAACACCATTGTGAAAGGTAGTGATAGAATAATTGAATTCCTTAAAGATCAGGTACCAACATCCTTTTGAACACTTCTACTCGTAGACAATTATTTAAATATTTTTTAATTATTTCATTATTTTTTATCTCAAAAATTAACATAAACTTGAATGCAAAATACAAAATTCCCACACTGTAGAAATATGATTGTGACTCACACTTGAAAACAACAAACCAGTCAGATTGTTTGGCTTACACATCACTGATCAATAAAAAACTCATGCCTGCTGTTGTTAGCATCAACTTTTATAATTAGTTTATAATTATTTATAATTGAATAATTATCGTGTTACTGATAATGTTATTGTATCATCATTTAATACAGTTATTAATTTGTTAAATTAACATTAAATTCTTTGAAAGGAGCATTTATTCTGGACTCACACGCAAAATTACTTGGACATCACTAGACCATCCTGGGGCTCCAAACTTCCATTTCCACTTTCACTAATTTTACCAATTAGTGAACGAAACAGGATACAGCACAGACATGAAAATGATTGTTCTCTAAAAAATCTCACAGAGGCAGCTAGAAATTTACAAGTATATTTGTAAAGAATTTGAAAACTATTATTAATCATTATTATAACTTATTGAAAATTTAAATAAATAATTTCTACCTAAGATAATTAACAATGCTAAAGAATGCTTGAATATTCTGTCGTCCAAGCTGGGAGATAAATCATACATCTTTGGCGAAAAGTAAACATACTCGATAATATTTTATAATTATTTATTAACTGCAGTATTTCAAAACGTTGTTTTACTAACAACGTTGACCTACTTTAGACCATCATCATTGGATGCCCTAATTTTTGGATTGCTGGCCCCAATGAATTTCATTGGTGCCCTGCCAACCAATAGCTTGCTTGTTCATCTCAGATGTTGTACTAACCTCACTAGATTCTGTCAGAGGGTGATTGATAACTACTTTCCTGAGAGTAGGGATGGTTGGTTCTTGTGGCGTTTGTTGATTGTGTCATTGTAATGTGGATGATGATGGTGGTGCTAACGTTGAGTTGAAGATATCATTGTTGCAGATGGTGATGACATGATTGATCAAATTGTCTATAATTTTTTCACCCAGAATTGATGAGAATAAAAAATGAAGAATCAGAAAAAATGAAAGAGAAAATGAAAGAGACAATAGAACTTGGAGAATTTCCACATAAAAGAAAGCAGCTATTAATAGCATCAATTGTTGTTATTGGATCAATGTTAATTTATGCAATTGCAATGGGAATTATTCATGTGGAAGTTGTTCATGATGAGAACAGAATTCCTATCGAAGCAACGGATTGAGAAAAAAAAAGAAATTCATTCATTCATTCAAAGAATTCATTATTTTGTTCGTTCTTAACTAAATTTTGATGTGTATAAATAAATAATATCTCATTTAGACAAGTTTGATAAAATTTAATATAATATTCCAAAAATCCTGGAATGGAAAACCAATATAAAATAGGAAAGAAAATATTTTAAAATTATAAATAAAAAATAAAATTGATATGCATGGCTTGAAACGCTAAAATGAGATAGAATTGGATGGAAGCATTGAGCAATGTCATCAGGCTGTAGCAGATGCTAATTAAAAATCTTTTTTTGTCGAAATGTTATTAGTCATTGTTTTTGTTTTAATTTAGAAAAACCTAACTTCAAATTATTTAATTCTGTACAAATAAAATTGTAAAGTTTTAAGTAGGAATGAAAGAATTCACCAAAACTCAGAAACAGCGATTTATAATCTTTTGAAAGCTGTACAGCTCTCATTGTTTATAACGCGGGAGTTGTAAAATTGTGGAGGGAATCGCTCGTGCTTGCATTTAAACTTTAAAGCCAGTTTCTCCACTAAGTACTGAAAAATGGCCGCTATAAGTGAACCCCATTTTACGTCGCCTCTAAGATCTCAAAATATGCTTACTACCCATTATTACACCATCACGTCGACTCCGCCGTTTGCTTCGCACGAAAGATGTCAACTGTTCAGTCCGGAGAGAAACAACGGATTTCCGATGACGCCATGTTCGCCATCGCTTCCCTGGAGTTCTCCGGAATCAGGGGGTGATTTGATTAAGAGAGGCAGACCCAAGGCTGCCACCCTAACTTCCCTGATCAGCCATGGATCGACAAATAACGACAGTTCGATCAAATGTCCTACATGTGGCAGGATCTTTCCTAGAGAAAAATCGCTGGCTGCTCATATGAGAACACACACTGGTGACTATTGATATTTTTTCATAAATAAATACGTTTTGTAAGTCAGCCATGATTTTATTTTTTTAAATAAATTGTTCTTTCTAGGTGAGCGTCCTTACATTTGTGACTACCCAAACTGCACAAAGGCATTTTGTCAGAGTGGCCAGTTAAAGACTCATCAGAGGCTGCACTCTGGGGAAAAACCATTCATTTGCTCTGTTAAGAGTCAGTATTTAAAAAATACTATCTATAAGATATTTTTGAAATTTAAATAGTGTATGTGTAATAATATACTTACTATTTTATCTTTTCATGTTTTTTAATTTTTATTTACAAATCGTTTGACCACATCAACCCATGACTATTTAGGTTGCAACATAAGGTTTACCCATGCGAATCGACACTGCCCTGACCACCCAAATGTGGCACTTTTAAGGGATGATGACAACATGCCTCTCCCCGCTGTCGATGAATCTTCCACTGCTCCCATGGTCAGAGAATGGCTCAGCAGGTAATTTTTTTCATGGATTTTATCTTCTGCCATTTATTTCAAGAATTATTTTATTCTAATTGCTAAAATTTTATTATATATAAAAATAAAGAAGAATAATACTTTCATTCTATTAAATCTCTGACCAGGTACTTTTCAACTCGCCACGAAAGAACCCCATACAAACATCGACAGGCGTTGCACAGTTCAAGCACCAAACGATCTCTCTTCAGCTCCCCAGAATCATTACCAGAGCAGGAAAATGCTGATCCTCTGGAAGATGTAGCAACACCAAAGACTAAAAACAGAAAACAACTCTTTGCCCCGTCGACACTGGCTACCATCAGTCTTGATGCCAACATCAACGATGAACATGATCAGGAAATTAGGACAAGTTGTGATGGGCCTAGAAAAAGATTGCTAGTCGAATCTCTCACTACAGAGAAAACATCGATAGAAAGCGATGACACCATGAAAGGAGCATTGGCTCTGTTGCAACTTGCTAAAGTTTTCAAATGAAAATAAATTCAATGACAATCAATTTGACTGTCCCATGTACATATATTTTATTTCATTTTTTCTCTACTGATTTTAGCTTATTGTCAGCACGCAAACACACAACTTATTTAAATATTTAATAAATACTTGTTCTTAGTCTTTTGACTGAAGCCCATCATCCAGTTTATTAATTTATTTAAAAAACAAAATCCTATTTTTATAAGATAGATTTCACTTCATTTTAATTTGGACTGATGTGGCTTCAACACACTAAATTTTCTGTAAATTTATTTCATGGTGTGTTTTATTTTGCTTGTTTCACAATTATTTTACTAATTTTTTCATCTAAATTTCACAAGCTGTTGAACTTCAATTTTGAAAAATTTTAAATAAGCTAACTATATGTGTATAGTTTGACACCTATTCTGGCTTACACTCTCTGCATGCTAACTGTATGTTGAATAGCAAAGCAAAATAATGCTGGAATTTAGGCTAGCAGCCAATGGTTGTACTATAATTGTATGCACCTGTAGGAATGTCACGTAAAAATATGGCTTAGTTTTATAAAAAGAATTTTATTTTAAAATAAATTAGAACCATTGTGTATTTATTTTTAACTTCAAGAGTTGATTTGTGATTGTTTCTGTGAAATTTCAACAAGCTGTTCATTGATGAGTTTGTTATGTCTGCTAAGATCGTTTGTCATTCTTTCAAGTTCACTTTTCAATTCTTCTATCTGTCCATCTCCATCCTGCTTCATTTTCTGGGGGTTGATTCAAGAGATTAGGGATTAAAGAAAGTGTTTGAAGATAATTTGAAACAGATATAGGTGGTTACAATGAATGAATATGACAATGAGATGAATAATGACTGGAAGAAAAAAATGCACCACCATTGTTTCCTGCTGTATGACTTCACACAACTCCTCTTCTGACTTTATTTCTTTGTGTAAGGCTTCGATGGCCAAATTCGTTTTTAAAATTTCATTACTGATCATCAATAGTGAGCTGTTGATTTCGTCATCATGTTCTTTCAATACTCTTACTTTTTCACTCTCTTCCTCTAACTTCTCTTTCCAACCATCTCTATCTAACCTCTGGATATCTGCATCTAATTTTTGCTCCAGTGCTTGTTCTTTTTCTATTTCTCTGTTGTCTCCATGAACATCGTTACTCGCTTCTGTAATGTCCACAATTTCTAAGGAGAAATGAACAATAATTTTTAACTGAAAATGTATTCTATTGAATTTCAAAACAAAAATTAAGTTGGAACCTTTGTTTAATAATTGAATTTCTTGCTGCTGTTGTTGCAGGTCGAGCATTTTATCATTCAGTTTCTTTTTCAGAGCATCTGTGTTGCTGCACTTTGACTTCTTGTACTTGCTGCTACCGCTGTGTTCAATGTTGTTTTCTTGCAACATGGCTAAGTTTTTGCTGACAGGCAAGTTTTTGTTTGATAAATTATTTTTAAGAGGCAAGGGCTTGAAGGCAAAAAGATCACTTTTTTTCAAATTCTTCTTACCATCAGTTGAAAGCAGTTGAAAGTTGGTTTCCTCACTGGCAGGCCCTTGAGGAGGAATGTTCATTGGAATAGGGAGGTTTCGTGTGACAGTTGTCCTGGGTTTTGGAACTGGAGCAGATTTCTTTTTGTCTATTTTTGAATATAACTCACTGAAGTTATCTCTATTTGATGGTCCTATGGTTTCAGCGGTGTTGTTAATGTCAGGCTCATTTAGTGGTTTGGCATTTGATTGGTCAATATTTTTTAAATTATCACACATCATTTTTTGATGTTGAGAGTCTTCATATTTGCTGAAGAAGTTGGTTTTAGTTGAAAAAGGTGCATTGAATGTGTGAGCCTTTTTAAGTCTATGCTGCTTCTGTCGGATTGGTTTGTCTATGTTGAGGACAGCAGTTTTTTTGTTATCAGTCACTTGTTTTAATTTGTTAGCAACGCTCACCTTGAGATTATTGTTGTTACTACTACGACTGTTGTTAAGTTTAATAAGAAAGCGAGTGTTTGTAGATGACTCTGCAAAGTTTTTCACAATATCCATCGGTTTGTCATTGGGCAAAAGAGTTTTTGCAATGTTGCCCCAGAGAAGGAGCATGCTGTAGGTTCCCTGAGAACCAGTTGCCTGTGCCACGGCCACCATCACATCTCGGCAGGTAGTTTGATCCGTCACTCCACTGATCACTCGCGATATGCCATCTTCAGTGAAAACTTTCAACTCCATTATTAAAGATTTTTAAAGTTTATTAAACTTTAAACATTAAATTTTAAAATAAACAAAAAACATTATTAATTGTTAATTCCAATTTTAATATTTTATATTTAAAATTAGATGTAATTTTTTTTAAAAACTTAAATATTTTTCTGATCTATGATTTTAAAAAGTTGCAAAGAATGACGGCAACTCCTAACCCATTTTATATTAACAACTTTTATTAACAACTTCGCAGAGAAAATCGAGCACTCACCTAAAAAAAACTAAAAGCGAATTCAACATTAAATCAGTGATCGACAGAAAGTTCGGCGGTTCGGCCGCACAATTTGTATACAAGTTGTGCAAATACCATCGGCTGGCGTTGGATACATTTTATGGTAATTATTACATACGCTACTCGCACAGCATACATCTGTCTCCAAAACTTTCAATTTAACCAAGTACAATTGACATTTTTATTTAAACATTTCTAAATTGCAAACGCTTAACAGCAAATCAAGTGAGAACATTAATCTTCAAACGTTAATTTTTAAATATTTGTTGCCATGAGAGTCTACTTTGTCATATTTTTGATCTGATCCTACAAACAGTAAATTCAATTTAGAGAGTAGAATCATCAAATATCAAAACTAAAACAGCTACAGAACTTTAACGAGTTTGCATTACGTACCTCTGATGTGTCTCGTTGAGTTTTTGTTCTCGGCTTTCCGCACATTGATCTTCTTCTCACGTTCAAACAAATTATTGATGTGGAAGACTGTGGCCACAAACATGAAAAGTTGAACGGCAGTCAGCAAGAAAGTTACGGTCAGTGCTGTTACGAACATCTTTGAAAACATCGAACCTTTCTTCCTACATTTCTACAATTAAGATAAATGGTTTGAAATATAATATTTGACAAGATACAAAAAACTGCATAAAATGTTATCTGACACTTGCAGAGGAAAGCGTTTTGTTCGTTTCATCATCTCCATCGTACTGGTCGATGTCATCGTCGTTTCTAATGAGCACGATATCGCACTTTCCGTCAAGTTCCGAGTTAAATTTACAGCATGATTCAGGCAGGTGATTGACGGATTGCAGGTCTGAATTCATGACCCAGTCTGCAGCGCCACTCATACCACAACATTCCACCTAAGAAACATTATTCAACGTCCATTAAAAGTTTCAATATTTTCAACGAAAAAAAAACTTATTGAACTTAAAAAATCAAAAAATAAATGACTAATCCGTAAATTTCATACAACGGTTTGTAAGATTTCCAAGCTGTCATCCATCCGGCTCACCTGGTAACTTGAAAGTTCTTTCAGGAAATTTGGCAGCTAACAAAAATATAATGTTAGTAACTACTATGATTATTGTTTTTATTATCATTACTTACATTATAATTTTTGACACTCATCAAGAAGCCAGAAATCATCGACATGAAAAGAAAACTGACGAAGATGACTGTGGCTAACTGGAAAAGGTTTTCAATTTTATTTCACGACTACAGCTGTTATCAAATGAACATTTTCACAACTAACAATAATTAAAATGAATTTATTGTCCTTAAATATCCCGTAAATACAGAGAAGAGCGATTAAGACGCAGAAGAGGCCAAGGAATGAAGGAATGTTGAGGAGTTGTCCCAAGAAATACATGCGGTTCCTCACTAACAACGACCTCGCATACATTCCTGCCCCGAATATGCCACTACCTGCCACCTAAGTATATAATTTCAATAAATCATTAACATTATCATCATTTTCGTTGTTTTTTCTACATAATTTTATTCAATCACTTATACTTTATCTTCTCTCTATAGTCTGTACCTACCTACTAAAAGGTGATAAAAGATAGCACACAAACAACTAACCAAAATAATAGTGCTGAATAAAATCAAGCTGCATTTCAAAAGGTTTCTATAGTGAACTGTTTTAGCGCACTTGCAATGAATTTTGCTTTTCAAATTCATTTTAATGGAAGCTTCAATATCGTCGAAACAAAATGATATTTACACTAATCGAAATAGAGTGCAAATGTAATTGGTCGCCATAGCGATGTCATTTTGTGTCGTCATCAATGTTTAAATCGTGCGGCGCTTTCTTCAAATTTGTTTTTATAAAACAATTTGTAATGCAGTTGTTCAAAAATACGTAGTGGAAATATGAACGAATAACCATGAGAAAGATACGATAAGAGACTATTGGTAGAAAGAACGATTCGTCAGCTACAACAATGACAAGCAATGGATTGTTTGATAATAAAGAATTAACCCATTATATATATATATATATATATATATATATATATATATATATATATATATATATATATATATATATACGTACACATTGTTGACGAATGAAACTGATGAATAGAAGCTAACAATATGTACTTGTGTGTGTTGGTATTTACGAATGAATACATTTTAATGTTTGTATAAATACACTTATGCATGTACATTTGTATGTACATTTGTATGTACGTACGTATGTATGTTTGTATGTGAACTTTGAGGATATATAAACATGAATGAATCACCGAGAAATAACACATCAAATACAATTTTCGAATTAGGAAGTTTATGTTAAAAGTTTCAAAATCAGAACAAATTTCAGCAATATTTTATCACAAATAAACTTATTCAAAATTATTATTGAAAAAAATATTGAAAGAAACCTTAATTTAAAGTATGGAACACATGAGAATGATCACTATAATTAGAAGTGAACACCAGCCGATTCTGCTGGTCACGATGTTGAGCGTGCTAGTACACATCAGCTCCGTGGAACTGACCAACGTTCTAAAAGTTAGCAACACAAATTCCAAGTGGACGAACATGGCCTACGATCCAGACACGTCTCTCTTATTTGCTACGGAGATCAACATGATCTACAGATTGAATGGTAGTAGTTTGGATATCTTGAACTCGCAAAATACAAAAGGGAACAGTTCTATAGATAGTAGTTGTTCAACGAACAATGCAAAGAAAATAAATAGTTGCGATAATTTCAACAAAATTCTTCTCGTTCATTCTGCGGCAAAATTGTTGATCGTTTGTGGCTCCATCAACAATGGATCTTGCGAGATGAGGAATCCAGATAACTTGGAAGTCGTTGAGAAAGCAAACACATCGAGATTTGTCTGTAATGTTGATGATAATTACGCCGATAATAAAGTTGTCTCCGTCGTAACCAGTGCAAATGTATCTGGACAAATTGTTCAAGCTCTTTACGTCGGAAATTACAACGATGACCCGTCCTCTGAATCCAAGTACATGAGTGGCATTTTTAGAAAAGCTTTCGGTATCGACAACCGTTTAAGTTCTAGTTCGGTGGATTGGAATATAACTGAAAATAATTGTTCTTGCATACATTACAGCTTCATTAATAAAAGAACTTTTTCGTTTGTAAATATTTTCAGGCATGCTGGCTCTGTTTTTATATTTAAAAATTTGGACAGAAAATTGGGTCGAATAACCAGAGTGTGTGAAGGAGACAGCAATTATTTCGCTTCATATATCGAAATGTCGGTACAGTGCGGTACATCGAGTGCGAGTATCGACAACCCTTTCACATACCTCAGAGCCGTCACTTTCTTCGACAACACACAAATTCTCTCGCAAAACAACAAATTGCCGGTGGGCAAGTATTTTGTGGCTGTTTTTGCAAGCAATAGTAGTGATGTGAATTCTGTTGTGTGCTATTTGGAAGTTGAAGCGCTTAATTCGGAGTTGGATGCTTACAAAAAGAATGTTGGATCTATCGATGCCGCCGGTGAAAAATCTACATATGAAGATGACTTGATACGCAAGATAGACGTTAGTATTATATTTAACTGAAATTTAGTTCTCAAAAATTTTAAATCTTTAAAAATGATTTTTTTTTCATAGCCGTTTTCCAGCGATCAGTGTATTATAATGAATAATGAAAACAAAACCAGACTGATTGGCAACAATATTTACCAATCCACCTTAATGTTCAGCTTAAGTTCAAAAGTTACCGACATAATTGTAACATCGACTACCGATCAAGATACGGTTTTCTTCTTTGGAACATTTGACGGATCTATCATTAAGGTTAGTTTGACGATTCTCACCGATAAAATAGGATCAAACATCATAACATTTGTAACGACTGTAATAACAAACGTTATATTTTTCCGCCCAAACTAAATTAAATTTTTTTAGTTTAAAAAATAAATACAACGACATCCTAATTTAATTTTTCTAATAGAAATCAGTTACATTAGCCCAAAATTTGGACAAAGCATTGGTTGTACTTGACAATGCAGCAAGGATCCAGCAAATGATCTTAAGTAGTGATTTCCTCAACATCTACGTCAGGACCAATGATGAAGTAATCGCGATCAAAATACTAAAAAAAATTAAATTTATTTATTTTAAAGACGATTCAATTGAGACGTTTATAGCGTATCATTTTTTTCATCAAACCTTTGCCTAGATTATGAAAATACCAACATCGTCATGTAACACGTACACTAGTTGTAAAGACTGTACCGAAAGCATGGATCCATACTGCGGATGGTGCATTCTTGATTACAAGTAAGTTATTTTCGATTACAAGTAAGTTATTTTCAATTACAAGTAAGTTACGAGTAAATAATTTTGGATTACAACAATTTTATTTTTATAACCGGTAACACATTTTTCCAATACATATATTGAATATCTTAAATTTTAAAACTTGAAAATATTCATATTCTTCTCCTCCAACAAATTCAACAGATGTACAGTTTATTCCGAATGCAACAGTTTGAACTCTGCGTGGATCAAATATAAAGCCATAAGATATAACAACGACATCTTCAGCATTTCGAATGAGACGTGTCCTTCTATTTTCTCCGACGATAACTTCGAGGTCGATTCTACTAAGCAGGTTAGTACAACATTTCATAAAAATAATTTCAGTTACCCAGCTATTAGTTGTTTGTTTATTTATTTTTGTATATGTTTATCTGCATCATACACTTGTTGCAAAAGTGGCCGGGATCTCAACTTCATTGGATCCCAGCCACTGCAAGACAAGACCAGCAGACTGCTTCAACTATTACACCATGGCACCACCTAGTTACTGATTGTTATTGTTATTAATTTATGTATCTGGGCTGTATTTTGACTATTTTTTCCAGATTGAAATAAGAACAAAAAACATTCCGACGCCATTATTCCAATTCTTGGTGTGTGACTACGACGGCCAAACAACAAACATCAACGTTAAAAACAACAGCGTAAACATAAACAACAACGTCACGTGCTCCATACCTAGTTACGTCACAAATAGAACTGGTTCGATACTTTTTTAAAAACATCTTTCATCAAATGTCTCCACTGTGAATGTCGAAATGTTATGGGGATGGTGATAGGATGATGGTGGTTGTAGCGCTGACTATTACGATGCCAGTAAGGCAGTGCTTATGATGGGAGTAATAATGACACTGACGATGGTGAGGAAGATGACGATGAGGATGATCCCGATGACGATAATAATGGCGCGGTTAGGGCTAGAGTAAGAGTCATCTAAGTAGATATTTCAGGCTGTCATTACGCGCCGCACTGGTTCGAATCCTATCTGATGTGGTGTTAACGACATGAAAGATGACGAATGAATGGTACTTTTGATTGCATTTAAATGAAAATATTTTGTTAACACTAGTGAACTTAAGCTTAAAGAGCAAAAGGAATCTGGCTATAACACTTTCGAGCAAGATAATTAATCTATATCGGTGTCCAGACTTCAATTCGTTAGTCAACATACATATTCATATGTTAATTTATTATTATTAAATATGAATAAATTAATGAAATTTGCATAAATTAATTTTTAATTAGCTAGAGTTATGTATTTGGATATATGTTAATATAAATTAACTTTACATGACAGATGTATGGAATGTGTTAAAAGTTCGTACAAATGCTGGTTCAGCAAAATTTATTTCAAGTGCCAGAACAAAGACGATGCAAATTCATTCGACAAGAATGTTGGTAGTTTTGTTTTCGGTGCCATTTTTTGTGATTAGTTGTTAATGATATTGCAAAGCATTGCACAGGCGCCTGGTTCGATTGCAAGGAAAATCCAAATTAAAATCGTCATTCCACCCACCATCATCATTATTACCGCCACCATCATTATCGTCTTTTAATCTCCATCACCTTCATTAGTACTAGTACCATCATCATCTTCATCATCATCTTCTTCATCACAACTGCAGTCCTGTCCTAATGTAGGAGACAGAGTGGAGAAGTTACATACACCGACAATGAAGGGACTTCAATTCAGTATCACCAATCCAACAGTTATTATTATAATTCTTCTTCTTATTATTATTTATTATTATTAACACCGTCACACGTACAGACAAGCAAGCAGTTGCAGTGCGATATTGGTGGCAAGAGAGTTGGCGCATCTGACACTGGAGCTTGCGACAGCTATAACGTTAGTTTATTATTATTATTATTACTATTATTATTATTATTATTATTATTATTATTATTATTATTATTATTACCAACAGTTTACAACGGATCAAGATAAGACAAGCATCACGGTCAAACTTTTCCTACCCGAAGTCAACTATTACCTGGATGGACAGATTACCGTGGAAGGTCGGTTCTCGGTAGTCGGTTCTCGGTAGTCGGATTTATGATTTGTGTGCTTGTAAAATCAGTGTCTGTTGTGATAGAACGTATTTTATTTTCAGTCGGTATCCGGCATTTAGGAGTTGGTCCTATTTGAATGTCTATCGGTTTTTGAAATTTTCAATTTCGTTTTTACAAATCGGTATAAAACTTCAACATCACCACCAAACAACAACTTTAACCTTGCAGTATACAACTGCAAATTGCTAGCTGGAGAAGATTGCAACTTGTGCATGCAGTACAAATTGGCACCGCATGACTACAGCGAATGTTCCTTCTGCAGTGGCGTCTGCAGTAACAACTGTGCCAACAAGAATTCTATCTCAACCTGCAAAACTGTCGTTGATGAGGTTTTTCTGGACACCATTGAATCTTTTTCCCTACAAACTTACATACATACATTCATTTTTTTGGAGTGAATAAAAGATCATATCGTATCGTATCGTATGCACTCAGATCAAACCGACTGAAGGACCGATAGAGGGTGGAACTGTCATCAGCTTGATCGGCCAGAGCATCGGTTATAATGTTTCTCAGATTAACGTAACCATAGGTGACAATGGAGCAGCGTTACCTTGCAAATTCATCTCTACTAAAAAGTCAGTTATTTTTTAGGGATAATACGAGACTCATACAAACACATACACACACACATACAAACACACGAACACATACACTAACACACGCAAACATACACTAACACACGCACACATACACTAACACACGCAAACATACACTAACACACGCAAACGTACACCAACTGATCAAAAGGTTCACCTGTACCACGGCGAAGGTTTTCGAAGCCAGAGAATATGGCGTTAAAGTGTTTACAACGTCTAATAACGAGCTCGTCTTCAGTGGATCATTCACGTTTAAGGTTATTGTTAGAAATATATACAAACAAACAAAAAAAGATAAACACAGACGGACAGACAAATAGAGGGATGTACAGACATATAATATAACAAACCGACAGACAATGAAAGAAACAAACAAACGGAAACTGAGAGAGAGTGAGAGAGTAAGAGAGAGAGAAGAAAGAAAGAGAGAGAGTGAAAAAGAGAGAGAAAGAAGAGAGCAATAACACCAATGACAAATAATGAAAATAAACTTTAAAAACTATTAACCACAAAACAGAGCGTGACACTGGATCCAAAAATTTCCCCAGATCACGGCGTAAGGTCTGGCGGTACGTTAGTGACGATTGCCGGCAGTAACCTCATGTCGCAACTGAATAGCGTCAAGGCCTACAGCAGCTGTTCTGGTAAACTTCAGAACCATCGAGTTGAACAGTTAGCATCTTTTATAAAAATATAATAATATGTACTAATAACGTTTTACTGTCGGCATCATGTATTTCTGCTCTACATTCAATGGAGTCATTATCATTTATACTATCATCGTATACGCCATCATCATCATCATCATCATCCTCATCACAATCATCATCACCATCATCATCACAATCATCATCACCACCATCATCATCAGATGGAACAACACAATGATAATCTTACGAACCGCGGACATAACAGATGGAACATTTACCGCTTGTAATGCTGCTGCTGCTAGTAGTAGTAGTAGTAGTAGTAGTAGTAGCAGCAGTAGCAGCAGCAGCAGTAGTAGTAGTAACGGTATTTTAGTAAGTTTGACAATAGAGATTGATTCGTTCAAGGAGACACTTCCTGACTCGTTCACTTATTTCAACAACCCCACACTGAACGTTCAAGACAGTGGCTATCTTTTTAGAAGGTTTGTTGTTAGCCTTTTCTACTTTTAATTGTACTATTTATACTATTATCATTATTATCACACACACACCACACACACACACACACCACACACACGCACACGCGCGCGCGCGCGCGCGTTCATACGTATATGCTATACGTGCAAACATTTCAGCCAAGCCTGTTCTCGCTACATGCAAGGCGAAAATTTGAACGTCAGCAGTCCATCCGGCAGTTACGTTAATTTGTGTCCGCTATCGTTATCAACATCTTCGTCATCATCATCGTCATCTTTTTGCGGCCTGAAGTTCCCAATAAAAGCTGTTGGTAGTTATTGAAATTGTTGCTGATTAGAAAGTTTATGTTGAATCATGATTTCTTGATAAGTTTTATTTCTTTAACTGTCATCTTCATCTTTCTAATCATCATCATCATTATCATTACCGCGGACACAACGAACCAATCACCACCTGCCCCCAGTTGGACAGCACCAACGCCCTCGTCAACCTGACCGATATTCGAGACGCCGCAACAGTTCAAATGACTTTCACCTTTGATGGTTGGTCTACATCTAGAAAGGTCACCGTCCTTGATGACCTCGATGACGTCAATTTCAGTATCGACGCCGAGGAGATTTCTTTCGTATCCATAAAGATGACCAGCAGTTATAAAGATTTCGGCTTGAAGAGTTTGTCCGACGATAAACTTATTCTCTCCCTAAATAAGGTTGGCCGGCGGAGTTTTGTATGGTTCAGTTGACAAAGAGTATTAACCTTAACACCATATTGTATTACGTTAAACTCAAGATAATAAGAATATTTAATGATAATAAAAATGTTATATTAGATTTATTCAAATCACAAGCCGAACGCAGAATTCTACGATGTTCCGGTTGAAATTTCCAGAGATGGCACTCCCTGTCAGAAGTTGTCTTTTGCCGAGGGCAACATTATTTGCCAGGGACAGAATGCCGCGAAGGGCAGCCCTATTCTGGTTAGATGATTGAAGGTGTTAGGGTCGAGGTTGGCTGTGAATTGTTTTCGTTGTTAGCATCGCCGTGACGTCATTTTCATCATCATCATCATCGTCTTCATCGTCATTATGGCCTTAAATCATCCTCACCTTTGTCGCCATACATAATGATGACACTCCACAAAGATCAGCTTATGTGGCAAAAGCGTGAAAGCAAGAAGGACGGTCGCCCAGACGAGCCTGGCCTGGCAAGTTGCAGTCGGGGTGTGCTTGGGGGCCCTCGTGCTCATCCTCGTCATCGTCGTCGTCATCCTCCTCTATAAATATCTGAAAAGCAAGAAACAGTACCGGAAGTTGATGGTGGAGTTGGATATGCTGGAGGCTGAGGCTAGGAAGAAATACAAGGAAGGTCTGCTGCCCTCTTAACTACAGTGTAAATATCGATGACAAAAACTATTAAATTTAAATTAAATTAAATCGATATACAGCGTTTGCGGAGCTTCAAATTTCAGAAGGCTATGAGGTGCCAAAAGTTTCCAACAGCGGCATTCCGTATCACCCGTACAGAATGTACGCTTTTAAAGTACTCTACCAGCACACTAATGACTATCAAGTCCTTAATGTTAGCTCTTCGTTCGTTCGTTCGTTTGTTTTTTTGTTAAATCTTTTGTTCGTTCGTTTGCCTAATACTAAGTAAGAATTATAACCAACAACAACAATAATAATAGTAATAATAGTAATGATGATGATGATGATGATGAACGCAGACGAAGAGAAAGTTGGACAAATACGAGCAACCGATGCAGAAGTTCCAGCAGCTGCTCAACAGCAAGTTCTTCATGCTGGCCTTCATTGAGGTTCTCGAGAGATCGACGACCATCAATGAAAAGTTCGCTTATATTATTATTAATTACGAATCGTAATCAAGTGGCAATTTATTATTAATAATTATGATTCTAGAATATTATTTTTATTAATTATAAATTTTCAGAGGCACCATGGCCTGTGAATATGCGTGGTTAATTTTGCAGCCCGTTATAATATTATTATGAATAATTTTAATTAAGATTAATAATTTTGTATTTAAAGATCAAAGATAGGTTCGCTCTTGAGTTTCTTCTTGCTAGACAAGCTGGACTATTCAATAGAGTATGAACGTGTTTTGCTATTATCAATAAAAAAAATATCAATAATAATTATCATTATTATAATTGATATAATTGTTGATGTAATTATTGATATAATTATAATCACGTTGTATAATTTTCGTAATGTTTATAACCTACTTGTAAGGATCATTGAGTTGTTACTCCATCGAATGGCTGAAAAGTACAAAAATCAAGGAAAGAACCCCAAACTTATGCTTAGAAGGTAGTTTCATTACTATTCGCACACACACGCACACACACACGCACACACACATTTTAAATGTGTACATGTTGTGTTGAAAATTGCCGTTGAACATAAGAACACTGTAAAACTAGGCCAATAAAATTGCAGTTTTTGATTGATTGTGTGATTGATTGGTTGATTGGTTGATTGATTGGTTGATTGAATAAGCATCGCCAATCAACAAACGCAGCGGCGAAAGCATCGTAGAGAGGTTGACCACCTGCTGGCTATCGGTTTCCATGTACCGGCATTTGAAGGGGGACGTGGGGGAGAAGTTGTTCCAATTGTACCTGGCCGTGAAGCAACAGATCTACTCCGGACCCGTCGATGCCTGCACCGATCAGGCCAAGTTCACCCTCTCCGAGAGGAACTTCTTGAAGGAGTACCAGTTCGATGCTGAGCCGCTGGTTGGTTCGTTGTTCATGTTGATGGCGTTGTTGATGACGTTGTTGATGTTTTTGATGTTGTTGTTGTTGGGATCGTCCTTGTCGTTTCATTACTGTTGTTTATGTTATTGTCACTAATGTTTTATTTTTAATTCCCCTGATATTTCATCATTTTTCTTGAAGATACAATTTGTTTGTCACTAATTTTACTAACTTAATTCTATCAACCATTTCAATTTTGTTGGACAGATAGTAAACGCAAGTGAAGCCAGAAGTTCGCCCCAGAAAAAACAGCAAATGCCGACGAGCTGCAAACTTCTACCCTGTGATACCATCTCGCAGGCCAAAGATAAAATTATCGACAAGCTCTACCAAAATGAACCATTTGTTAACAAACCCAATTATCGACTATATGATCTTTGTCAGTAGTTGAATGAGTGAATGAATAAATGTTGATAGATATCTGGATGAATGAACGGATTGATGGATGGAATGGATGGATAGATAGAAAGATCTCAGACATGCAAAGATACAAAACAGACAGACAGACAGACTAACATACAGACAACAAAAAAACGCAACTTTTGCAATAGTGCCACTTTTACAAAAGTTTTATAACACTTTTTTCAACAACACCATTTTTAACAACAACGAACGATCGAATGAATAAACGATTGATAAAATGAATGAGCGAATGAATCAGCCAACAAAATATTCACTTATGCAGACTTAGTTTCAGACCCAGACATGAAACTGAGCGAGGACGTAGACATCCAGAAAAATAACGGCGATTACGTGAAGCTGAGAACCCTCGAAGACTACCACATCCAAACTGGCCACCAATTGAAACTCATCAAGAAACCAGATGACGACGACGACGCTTTTCTGAGATATGTAGGAGGTATGACGTCATACTATATATCTTTTTTTTGTAATAATAGTTTAATAATAATTAGTTATAATAATTTAATTGTTATCGTAATTATCCAAAATAGATGCGGAGATAGGAATAGGCGGAGTGGGTAATGTTCAACCGCTGATCGTTCGTACCAATCAGAAGAGATACCACCTGGTCTGTTTGTCATTTATATTTTTCATTCAATTGGATCAGTCTTTCATCTGCTCGCTTATTTATTCATCATTCAGTTCTTTACTCTGGTGAACTATTTTATGAAGGTGAAAAATGAAGATGTTGAGAGAATGAACAGAAGCGGGAAAAGTAAGAAGACATCGAGACGAAAGTTGTTGACTGAAGATTATTATCCACTACTGCAAACTAAAGTAGGTCTTGTCCTTATTCCATCCGTCAATCCTTTCACCCACCCAACCATCCATCCATCCACCATGCACCTATCTATCCAATGGATAGATCCATCTATTCACTTTTTCATACGTTTATCTTATTTATTTCTATTTTTTTTGTAAAACCTTCAAATATTTAAAACATATATTATTCATTGAATGGTTTTTAACTTCCTAAACGACTACCCTGCAAAATTAGGTGAACCTTGAGGAACACATCAACAAATTGTTCGACAGCATCTTCGCCGCGAGCACGGAGATTGCACCCAGCGTCAAATATTTATTCGACGTCTTCGATAAGATAGCCGACCAGATGGCTTTCACCGATCCACTCGTCACCACAATATGGAAGAATTATTGGTCTGCATGAATTTTTATCGTTACATTGTAAATAAACAAATTTATTTGGCAAGCTAGCTCAGATCGTTCGAATCTTAGAGACCATCTTATCAGCTATCTGAGCAAAGAATAATTTGTTTGCAAGCTATTCTGCTCTGCACGCACGAGAAACGTGTAACGATGAACAATGACTGAACCGATAATTATTACAACAGAATATGAACTATTCATTGAAATATTTGCAACATTGCAATCCTCGCAGTTTCATCTTGAAATTCTGGGTGAACCTCATCCAGAACCCGAGCTTCTTGTTTGAGATCGAGAAGGATGTCGTGCTGGACTCCTGTCTGACGGTCATCGGCCAGGCCCTGATGGACGGGTGCTCCATTCAAGAAATCAAACTGAACAAGAGCTCGCCTACATCCAAGTTGTTGTTCGCTAAGGATTATGAAAAATTCAAACTGCTGGCGAAGAATTTTTACGAAGGAGTTAAAAATGGGAAGGAGATATCGAGCAAGGAGATTGCCAGGACTATGGAGAAGAATTATTCCGTCTGTGGAAGCATTTTTTAAAATTATCATTCTGATTATCATTCTTATTGCTGTTGCTGCTAATTTTGTCGTTGTTGTAAAAACTGGCATAATATTTATTCACGTTGAGTGCTTTGCACTGATAGCAATCTCATTCTTTGTGGTTAATAACATCAACAATGGAATTTTTTTAAATTTGTACAGAGAGATATAAATATGAACACGGATCTGAACCTAGAGATGGGCTTGAAAGACTTGTTCGAATATGCTATTAAGTTCAAAGACGAAGTAGAATTTTGTTGTTGTTTATTATTATTATTTTTATTATTACTCATATTCTTGGTATTGTTGTTTCTGCTTTGGTTGTTGTTCACGTATATTGCGTGTTGTTATTTTTCTACCTGCTGTGTATGTTTACTAATATTACGTATTAGATACTATCAATGTTTTAAATTTAATAATTATAATTATGAACATAATTATAATCATAATAAATTATTTTTCCAGATTGTGATATCCCTCGGTGAGCAGCCACAGTCTGAACATTTGAGACTGCCACAGAAATTCATGCACATATTTTCAAACAATTATCTACCTTAATACCGTCATTTTTTTATCCCTCGAGTGGGATTCCAAATTTCAAATCAAACTTTATAATACTGAAGTCTGATATCAATATATTTATGCATGTATCCGTTGAAAACTATATGTGTATGTATCCATGTATGTGTCTATCTATCCATCCATCTATCTATGTATTTATATATCTATGCATGTATCTGTCCATCTGTATATGTACGTATCAATATTTCATATGTGTATATTATTATTATTATCATAATATATATTGTTATTACCATTATTATTACTACCGTAGTTGTTGTTGATGTGACGTTGCAAATGATCATGGCAGTTCAGTCGGATTCTCGTGGCGTTCCAACCAGGCAGCAGGCATTTCACCGAAGTATTTACCCTTGTCAGTATTCGAAGATTGTGTGGTCAGTATGCAAGCGATGGTTAACAATGGAAAAAAACACAAATCCAAATAATCAGACAAACAAATAAACAAACATACAAAGAATCAAACGTATAAAGAGACAAAAAGACAGCCAGAAGGCGAAACATTAACGACAACAAAATTTTGCCTCCTCCCTATTAGAGCGAGCATGAAATTGAATTTGCAGGGATTGGCTTGCTTGTTGGGTACTTTCTTTCCGATGGCTTAACAGAAAAATTGAATTGTCAGACAACACTGAACAATTTAAAGACGCCTAATAAAATTGCAGCAGTGAATCGTAAATAAGATGAATGGAACCTGAAGTACACGGGCCAGGAAGATTTGGTTCTGTTGATAAACACTCATTACCAAATCACATGACCAAATGCGTTGCAAACATTTGTTTGGCGCGAAAAAATAAAACAACATCCCATCACGTGCCCTAGGAACTAGAAGCCATAAAAATTAAAAAAAAGAACTACGTGTATGATGCTTCAGAGTTAAGTGGCAAAAAAATAAACAGCCTATTTTTCAGTGGCGCAAAAAATTAATTTCTAGGCGAGGTAAGAAAAGGAAAAAAACATTTAAAAGGCACATTCACAACTACAAACGAACTCATTCGCGCACACACAAACATACACTCATATACACACTCACGCATACACAAACACACAGACATGCGCACATTAAAAAATGACTACGGAGAAAATTGTACATGCGTGTAGATAAATTCGTGTATATATATATATATATATATATTTATTTATTTATAAATAAATATATATATATATATAAATTCACACGGAACCAGCCATAAATAATTACACGCACACACACACACAATTTATTCCCAATTCCCTCCAATTTTTTCTCATTCCCGATTCTCTCCCGAATCCCCATTCGTGGCAACGTGCCAGGAAATATAGAGTTTAATTGGGTTATATAAAGTTTTATAGAGTTATGGGGTCATATTGGGTTATATAGGGTTAAATATATATATATAGGCTTTCATTTTTTGCACGTAGATGTCATTTTTCCCATTTTTTTCCATTCCCGCCTGTCATTTTCGAACCGCGATTCTCTATTTCCTATAATTCACATTCCAGAAAATTTAATTTTACCAATTCCCATGGGATTTCCGCGATTCCCGCTCCCATGCTCATCCCTCTAATACACACACACACAACACACACACACATACATACATTATTACACACCACACACACACGTACATAAACTGCATCGTGCAGCAAATGCTTGCTCGTGAGAATCAAACTTCGTCATTATTTTAAAGTTTCTGTCCTATATAAAAGAACCAACAATATTTTCGAAAAGTAATTCAATTTATTTTTATTTCGTAATATAACAAGCAAAATATAATTTTGATAATTATAACGCAATTTATGTTTAACTATTCATTCGTTTTCTGAGCTTATAAATACTTTTCTTATTGACGGGATTGCAACACAAGTTTGAAACTCAAGATAAAACTGCAAATGTAACAAACAATAATAAACTTATAAATAAACAAACTAATTAATTATTAAAATAATTAAAAATAATATAAAATTTAATTATTAATAAGAAATAAACATAAATTATCCCAAGGTTATGGTCGCAAATATATACGAATAGATTAACATAATTTGAAAAATACGTCATAATTAACATAAAACATTATAATTATTACTACCCATCCTACAACAGTGATCAAAAGATCCTACAAACTGATGGATGACGTCACAGAGACCACTCTGTACTACGCCATCGAAAAAAACGAACCCGATTCGCTGTTGAAGTTGTTGGAGGAGGGCCTCAACCCGAACGTCATCTTCAACGGGTTCGACCCCCTGGGCAAGCCCCTCTTCTGGACGCCCCTGCATTTCTGCTGTGAGAAGGGGAGGTGGGTGGCTGTTCAGTCTCTATTCAGTGTTCACTCTATCTTCTGTATCAGTGTGCTTTTTGATGTCTCCCTTGTGAATCCGTGGTCATTTTGATGTTCGTTATTCTGTAAACCAGTGAGTGCTCTAATGTGCATGCCGTATATCGGCTCGTGGCTAGGTCGCAAGTCGTCTCTCTCTAGCGATCAAACTGAAACTTTTTTTTTATTTCCAACCGACCAGATACGAATGTGCAAAGTTATTATTAGAATTTGGGGCTGACCCGGACGCGGGCGACAGGTGGTGCATGACCCCTCTGATGTATGCCATTCGTACTGAGTGGCACAACATGGTGGAGCTGATGATCGAGGTCAAGGCCTCGGTCGATTTGCAGGACACCAGGGGACGCACGCCTCTCCACATCGCCACTGAATGCTCCGATGACGTGTATGTTGCTCTTGTCATCATCATCATTGTCATCATCATTATTAGTGATAGTAGCATTCAAATTCAAATCGGCCAAAGTACACAGCCTCCTCCATAATTAATATTATTCCGATTAAAGGTGCTCCTAAATATTTGAAACAATTGCAGGTGCGTGAAGCTGTTGTGCGACGCAAAGGCGGATGTGAACATTCAGGATCTGGTGGGGAGGACTCCACTGTGGGTGACCGTGACACAGGACGGCAGGAAGTCCCATCTGCAGAGGCTGCTCGAGAAGAGTGACGTCAACATCCCCGACAAGAGAGATAAAAGAATCGCTTTGCAGGTTGGCTGGTTGGTTGGTTGGTTGGTTGGTTGATTGACTGGCTGGTTGGTTGGTTGGTTGGTTGGTTGGTTGGTTGGTTGATTGACTGGCTGGTTGGTTGGTTGGTTGGTTGGTTGGCTGGCTGGCTGCCTGGTTAGCTGGTTAGAATTGTTGATTGATTAGAAGGGTAGGGAGCAAAATTAAATGTGAAAAACGTTAAAAATCCACCCGTGGTATAATTTGAAATTCCACTCAAACGACCGGCAAATAATTTCTCACCACATAAACCAACAAGGAAGCGATCGTATACTCGAACGTTGACTGCCTGGACTACGTGCGGTTGCTGCTGAAGGCAGGCAGTAATGTGAACCACAGAGACGAGGCCAACTTGAACTCCATGCTCAACCTACTGATGAAGATCAAGAGGAAGGGGATGAACATCAGTAGTGAGGAAATGGAGATTGCCAAGTTGATCATTGATTCCAAATATAGGCAAGTATTTTTTTGTCTCTCTGTTTGTCTGTCTGTCTGTTCGTCTGTCTGTTTGTTTGTTTGTTAGCGTTGGTGGTGGTGTATTTTTGTTTTTGTTTTTTTTTTGTTTTTCTTCAGTTTGATTTGTTGTTGTTGATATCGTCAGAGGTCTTCCACGTATCCCATCATTCCCAACAACAATAACAAAAACAGACTCAACGACATCCCGAAACGAACGAGTTGGCATAAATTTGGAGGTACTGCGTTAAAAATGGCCAGCGAACAAGGAGCCACCGGATTGGTCAATCTATTTTTAGAGAATGGGGCCGACCCTGACCTTCCAGGTTTACACAACTTTTCATTTTTAATTATGACTTAATTATAATTGGATAATAACATTGTAGTTTTTAATATGAGACATATATTGTAGTAGTTGAAAAATGATTGTTGGTGATGTTACCTTTCTTTTCTCTAACTTTTAAAATCCATTTAATCCTGTCTGGCAGATGACTGTGGCGTGACCCCGTTGCTGGCCAGCGTTTCAAACGACCACGAAGCAACAACCTTGGCCTTGCTAAGGTCAAACTGCAGAATGGACATTCCCGGTGAAATGAAACTATCAATTTTTAAATCCAGCACCACCGTCTCGTCGTATTCATCATCATCATCATCTCCTCACTCCAACTACTCTTCGTCGTCGTCAGCGTCGACCAGAGCGTCATCGCTATCGTCATCAGTTCTGTCGCCAGCCCTCTTATCATCGTCCCTATCGTCACCGACTCCACAGACGATCGTCGTCACGCCATTGCAGTGCGCCATCAGGAGAGGCAGCTTCAAAATCTGCCGCCTGCTCCTCCAGTTCGGCGCCAGCATCGCGCCTACCGACGCTTCTTATCTGCTGCTCGGCCACAAGGCTCTCGATAGTGATGATAAACCTGCTGATGATGATACCAAACATCATAATCAGCACGACAATCGCGCAAATCACGTGATTGCGATTCCAGAATCTTTGGTGAACAATTGCATGCTGTGGTCCTACCTGATCTACAAGGTTTCTAACCCGTCCACGCTTTTCGAATTGTGTATTTTCAAAATTAGAAGGAAATTAGGTCGAAATTTGATTGCTTCACTCGATCTACTTCCGCTTCCGGCATTTTTGAAGAGTAACCTGCTCTTGAAATTTGTCGGTGTTGATGATGATGATGATTTTTATGTTAATGATGCTGACGATGTTGGGCATGTCACGAGGTTGTGACGATGATGATGACGACGATGATGATGAGGAGGAAGAGGACGACGATGACGTAGATGATGATGATGATGACGACAATTGAAACGATTAAAACTGCTTATCTCACTGACTCATGTGATATGAATTTTATTCGTTTATGGTTCCTAAGACTGACCGCCATAGTGCCCGTACAACATTCTATCGAGCATGTGCCTTGAATTAATTTATTTTTTCATGTATATACATATATATATATATATATATATATATATATATATAATCAGTGGGGTTAAGTATTTAGAGTAATTGAATACTTGAATGGTACTTAATACTTCCTTCAGCATTTCAGAGCGGTTGTTTCAAACATCAGCAAGTAGCAAGCAGGAACCGTTCGGACAGTGTTTAATAACTTTGGAGTGGCAAGTACTTCTGCGAATGAGTTGCTTCGTCGGGCTTTTATTTCTATTTGGGAGTCTGTTTCATTCAGTGAATTTATTAAACTTAATAATGTAGGAAAGCAAACAAAACAAAATTAAATATCCCGATATAAGAAGACAAGACTAAAGAAAAAAAGTGAATGAATGAACGATTTCTAGCCAGCAGAAATATGATAAATTAGATAATAAAATAATTAGATAATAATAATTAGATAAATTAAAAAAATAACTTGTGAACTAAAAAAAGCAGGAAGGCAGCCTTGTGCAATTTGTTGGGAAGTCACATTTTAAATGAAGCAAGTGTCTCCTATGCGTCAACTGGTTTCGTTCGTCTATTGATTTATTCGTTCTAATAATTATCTTCTGTCTATTTATACATTTGCAACAGCAACATCATCAACAACAACACCAAAAGAAACCTAAAAACATTTTCAATGATTGATTTTATTTCGATAATAACCATTTTTCTATTTTGCAGAATAAAAAATTCGATTAAAAATTATTCTTCAGTATTTTTATTATCGGTTCTGATTTGTGAATGTATGCCCTTGCAAAGAAACAATCATGATAGTATGTATGAGCGTGTGCGTGTGTGTGCGTGTGTGTGTGTGTGTGTGCGTGTGTGTGTGTGTGTGTGTGTGTGTGTGTGTGTGTGTGTGTGTGTGTGTGTGTGTGTGTGTGTGTGTGTGTAGAAAACCATTGAATAATGACCACTATTTGCAATTGAGGTAGTTGTGAAAAGTAAAAAGTAAGACGATGATGGTGATGATGACGAAGACGATGATGATGCTGATGGAAAAATTATAGAAAAATTATAGTTAAACATCGTCTATTGAAAAAGTAAATAAAAACATGTGAATACTATTTGCAATTTAGCGTTCAAAAATAGTTAAAAATCATTAAAACATAAATTTATAAATTCATTGGGGTGTTGTTGTTGATGTTGTCCTTGTTGATGTTGTTGTTGTTGTTGATGACGATGTTGTTAATGGAAGCAATGTAAGTATTTTGAACAGTTGTGGCTTGTAAATTTGTGCTGCTGATGTTGTTGTTGTTACTGCTGATTATGTTGTTGTTGTTGCTATTAAGTACATATTCTCCGTGATTATGTTGTTGTTGCTGCAGACAAATGTTGCTCATGTTAGAAAAATATTGTTGACTGTTGTTGATGTTGTTGTTGATGTTGTTGTTGTTGATGTTGTTGTTGATGTTGTTGTTGTTGGTAGTGTTGCATATGTGAAGGAAGGAATTGTCGAAGTTGTATGCGTCATCGTCAAATCCATCAAATTTTTTACTGCTGGAGATGTCGTTGTTGTTGTTGCCACTGACGAGTTTGTCGTTGTTACTACTGATGTTGTTGTCATAAAACCGATAGTAATCGGTTGATGCTGTTGTTGATGCTTTTGTTGTTGTAGATGTTGCTAGCGAGGAAAAATTGTTGTTGGTAGTAGAAATACTGTTGTTGCTATTGTAAGTTGAGTGTTGTGATGTTGCGTGGCTGTTGTTGTTGTAGTAATACGAATTGTGTTGCTGTTGTATGCATATAGAGGAAGATGACGTTTTTAACTCAGACGATATCATAATACTGTTGTTGTTGATGTTGCTAGCATTATTGCAACTGTTGCTGATGTTGTTGTTGAAATTGTTGGTGAAATAGTTGACCAGCGTGCAATCAGGAGAACCGCTGATGATGAGGTTGTTGTTGTTGTTTGCTACTGCGGCATCACAGCCCGAAGAACTCGCATTGTAACTGCAATCTGTTGATGAAATGAAGAAACTCAAATTAGTTATTTTATTTCTGGGCATTCAAGAATGTTTGTTGGTTAGAAGGTTTAAATTAGTAAATGAAATGAAGTGTTGTACAAGCCATCATTCATTTTTTTTAGACCAAAACAACAAAATTTATACACAAATACAACAACGATAATTATGAGCCAAATAAAATTTTTCTAAATCACTAACCACCTGTGTCATCTTGGTAAGAGTTAGTCTGTTGTTGATGATGATGATGTTGATGTTGTTGGGCTTGATGAGGAGGATGATGATGATTGTTGTTGTTGTTGTTGTAAGGGATCAATGCGTTCGAGAAATAATCATTATTATAACAGTTAAGTTGGGTGCTATAGAAATTGTCATTACTACCACTAACACCATTGCAACCGTTGATACTGGTCATAGAATTGTTGTTGTTTCTGATGTTGTTGCTATAGAAACCATGTTGTTGTTGGTGGTGGTGGTGTTGGTTGGGGTAATATGTCCCAACGTGTGACATGTAAGCATCGTTGTTGTTGGTGGTGTTGATGTTGTTGTTGTTGTTGTTGTATAGGGGGTAAGACCATGTTGAATATTGACTCATGCTTGCGTAATCGTCATCATCGTCGTCGTCGTCAGCACCGCCATCATCATCGTCGTCGTCTTCTTCATCATCATCCGTGTTATTGATAGTAGTTTCTCCGTTAGCTGCACTGATATTATTATTAGTATTGGCTACATTTAAATTGTTATTGTTGTTGTTGCTATTTATTCCGATCATGTGACCATTTATAGCGGCCATGTTCATGAGTGGGGACGGTGACGTCATGAAGCCAGCATCCAATGGCGAAATGCTCTGACTGCTGCTACTTCCTCCATCCTCACTCGAATGCATTCTGAACATGGCACCCATGTTTCCGTAGCCGCCAACTGCTGCTGTAGCTGAGAAGCTGCTGCCACTACTGTTGCTGCTACTTAACTGGCTGCCATTGGCTGCAGTTCTAGCTCGGTTGTTGTGATTGGTTGATGTTAAAGAGGTGCGGGTGTTTTGTGGGCGCGGTCTGAAACGGGCGGGAGATGATGAGGAAGATGAAGAGATGGTGGTTACTTTCTCAAGTTTGTTGTGGACGCGCGCCTTCGCTCTTCTGTTCTTGAACCAAACCTGTGCGATGTTAATTTTTTGTTTGTTTTACAATCGATCAGCAAACCAAAAACAAACAACCGATTAAACATCGAACCAAAGAACAAAAAACAACGAAGAAAACAATAACAAAAATTACTGCTGCTACCTACCTGAATTCTAGACTCTGGTAAATTAATTTTTTGGGCCAACTCTTCTCTCGCAAAAATGTCCGGGTACCTCGTGACCTTGAACATCTTTTCAAGTTCATCCAACTGTTTCCGGGTGAACGTTGTTCGCTCTCTTCGCTGTTTGCGTGGCGGGTTCGTCGTGTTTTTCGCAGTTCCTGGTGTTTTAGTTGAAGTGGTCGTTGTTGGTTGTGGAGGTGGTTGTTGTTGTTGTTGTTGTGAAGATGGTGGGTTTGGTTGTTTGAAGAATAGTTGTTGTTGTGTTTGTAATTCTGCTGATTGTTGTTGAGGGTTTTGTTGTTGGGAATATTGAATTTGTTGCATTGATGATGATGATGATGATGATGACGATGATGATGATGGTGGTGGTGGTGGTGAAGATGACGATGATGGCATGTTGAAAAATTGATGCTGTTGTGGAAAATTATGAAAGTATGGTCGTCGTCTTTGTGAATAATAGCAAAAATTTTGTTGTGAGTGATGACGTGGCATGTCTGGATGATGACGATGGGGCTGGTAGCAACCGTGCTGCCTCTGACCTTGGTGGTAGAACTGTAAATCATCATGTAGTTGATGATGATGGCGTTGAAGTTGTTGTTGATGATGATGGCGTTGAAGTTGTTGTTGATGATGATGATGATGATGTTGAAGTTGTTGTTGTTGTTGATGATGATGATGATGTTGTTGTTGTTGATGATGATGATGTTGAAGTTGCTGTTGATGATGAAAATCAGGAGCATTACATAAAGAAATATCAATTAAAGACTGCACGGCATCATTCACCGTGGCCCTTGTCATTTCACCAATTAAATCTTTCCCCGTATTTGATGGCCCACCAATCAAATCTTTCCCCGTATTTGATGGTCCACCAATCAAATCTCTCTCCGTATTTGATGGCCCACCAATCAAATCTCTCCTCGTATTTGATGGCCCACCAATTGAATCTCTCTCCGTATTTGATGGCCCACCAATCAAATCTCTCTCCGTATTTGATGGCCCACTATTTGGATCCGTTGTTTTGTTTGAAATCTCACCAGTCCAAAAATTTTCTCCATTTGAATCTCCACCAATAAAATCTGTCTCAATATTTGAAGCCATGTCTACCTCACCATCAAACCCAATCATGAAATATCATTCAAATACTGTCACTGCTATTTCCAATTGACAGTTTTTGCAAAAGAAATTAAAAATTAAATTAATTAGCCTGTCGATTATTTAATTAATTGATTGATCAGTTACTTAATCAGTAGATTAATTAGATAATTAATTAACAAGGCGACGAATTCAATGCCTAATAAGAAACGTTTGCTTAATTAACGAAGCCAAATTGATAGCCCATGTTGTCGCTAGCAAGTTCGGTTCGTCTGATGATGATCGACGGATTAACACTGTCATATATAACTCCCAAAGAGCCATACACCTACCTACACATGTATATTCATATACACATATACATATATACATCGTCACATATATATATACGTGTTCATTTGTATATATTTTGATGTACACTTAACGTGATCGCAAAGTTTGACATGTCCAACGCTTACGTAAGTGTGTTAAGTTATACTTATAAAGTGAAAGTTTAAATGTTGCTAGTGATGCAAGTTCGAGTGCCTGCCTGCCTGTGTGTGTGTGTGTGTGTGTTTATATGTATGTGTGTGTGTATTTGTTTGTATCTTAGCATGTATGTTCATTTGTATCTTAGCATGTATGTTCATTTGTATCTTAGCATGTATGTTCGTTTTTGCGGTTGTATGTATAGCTAGGTGTGGATGAATTTGTGGTTGTATATACCGGCAAATGTACACTTTTACATAGGTATACGTACACACACATACATACGTACATACATTCATGCATACATACGCACATAAAAATACATACACACACGCATACACATGCATAAAGGACGCACGTTAATGTTACAATTAATAATTCACTTTACACGTTGTTAACAACTTTGTACGAAATATCTTGTGAACAATTGTGACAAACACACACCACACACACACATACACACGTACACGTATGTATACATGCATACAAACACACACACACACACACACAAAACAATGATTCAAACATCTCTGTATTGTTAGTATTAATTAATTATGCATTCGTTTGTTACGTAACGCCTTTGTTTGTATTTCACGCAAAGGTTGTATTTGCCTTGTATGAATTGTAATATTCATTTTTATTATTGTTGTTGTTATTATTTTAAATAATAATAATAATTATTATTATTATATTTAATAATTAAAATAATATTAGACTAAATAGGTAAAAAATACACCATAGAAAAGTTGAATGATAGTGATAGAATATACATTTGAGCTGATAAATCAAAGTGATTACAGAATGAATTAATGAATGAATGAGTGAAAAAATGAATGTATGAATGAGTCAATAAATTATTGAACAAATGAATAAAGTAAAGAAAGAGTGAGTGAACGACGATTGCTTCGTTACGCTTGTGCGAAATAGTTACGTAACAGTCTGGATTGAAAGGTATGTTACAAATAAGCCATGTTGGTTGACACATTGTGGTTTGTTGTCTGATTGCATAGTACAAAGAACATGGGTTTGTTTGTTTGTGTATGTATGTGTGTGTGTGTGTGTTGTGTGTGTGTGTGTTTGTAATGTAAATAAACTTTATCTACTGACTCAAAACATCAGCAACATCAACATCAACAACATCCTCATCAACAACTTCAACAACAACATTATCATCGTAATTATAACCTGCATATGCCCCAGTAACCCAATGGTTTGTGGTCGACATGGTCATCAGTGATGGCTGGTTGCATGTATACATCTTTGGTGTTTGTCGGTATTTTTAACGGTTCTGAGTATGACGATATGTATCGGTATTCTTAGTTGATTTATATTTTTTCAATACGATCGGTATATTGGTAGGTAGCGATGTTTTTCAACGAGATCAATCGATGATTTGTACATCGCCGGTGCTCTGTGTTGGTTGAAGTTGAAGCTGTCTGGCTATGTATTCCTTTTCTTCCCCTTCTTATTATTAATGTTATTATTATTATTATTATTATTATTATTATTATTATTATCTAGCTTCTATACTCCAAAAAATGATGATGTTATTTTCATTGATTTGGATCAAACGATCCAATGATTTGTTGGCCACATGTTACCGTCGATGTCTTCTTCATACTATTATTACTATTATTATTATTGTTGATGTTGTTGTTGTTATTGTTGTTGCTACCGTAACTATACAAACATCAGCAATTGAACACACACACAGGCTGGATTCATTTATTTGAGGCAAACACTGAGCAACAAGTGGTGTATGTATATATATATAAGTCCTCGGAACCACGTCCTCTTAATCTTGATTGACAGTTTCAGCAGCCAATCAGAGATGAGAATATATTTTAAATGCAATGTGACCACCACAAAATCTCTGCATGCGCTTGTGCGTGCATGCATGCATCAGCAGATGAATGAATGAATGAATGAATGAATGAATTAATGAATGAATGAATGAATGAATGAATGAATGAATGAATGAATGAATGAATGAATGAATGAATGAATGAATGAATGAATGAATGAATGAATGAATGAATGAATGAATGAATGAATGAATGAATGAATGAATGAATGAATGAATGAATGAATGAATGAATGAATGAATGAATGAATGAATGAATGAATGAATGAATGAATGAATGAATAAACGAATGAATGAATAAATGAACGAACGAACGAACGAATGAACGAATTAATAATTTAATAAAATAAATAATCAATAAAAATACGACATTATTTTTTAAATGTTATATATTTAGTATATATAATGAATGATTGAATTAAAGAATGATTGAAGGAATAAATTTACGGTTAAGAATGAATAAATAAATGAAATGGAAAGATGGAGGAATCAATAATGAACAAACATCATTACACTCATCATCGTCGTCATCATCTTCTTCATAATCACCATCTTCTTCATCATCGTCATCTTCATCATCATCGTCGTCGTTAGCATAAAATGTGCAGACATTTTTTAGCGCTTCACTTGTGAGGTTTCGAATCCATAGATAAGTAAGTGCGCTTTTCACTTTCATATCTTTGTTTTTTTTGCTCAAAGCAGGGAAATGTCTGTGTGTGTATATGTATATCTAAATAAAGTTAGAGCATTTGATGATGACAATGATGATGAGGATGGCGATGATATGATGACGGCGATGATGATGATGATGAGGAGGAGGAGGATGATGATGATGATGATGATGATGATGATGATGATGATGATGATGATGATGATGATGATGATGATGATGATGATGATAGTGACGTTGGTGATGACGAAGACGACGAAGATGATAACGACGATGATGATTGAACATTTCATGTCTTCAATTTGTTTAATGGATTCGTGAGGCGTTTGTTGACACCTGCAAGCTTGCTCATTCATTCCTTCATTCATTTTTTTATTCCTTTATTCATTCGTTCATTCTTTCGTTCATTTATTCTTTTATTCGTTCATTCATTCGTTTACTAGTTCATTCCTTCCTTTCTTCCTTTATCCAATTTTTTTATTTTTTCACAAATATAACAAGGTCTTCAAAATTAATTTAGCACCTACTCTAATTAAGGCACACCTACGAGGAGGAAGATGATGAGGACGATGATGATGAGGAGGAGGAGGAGGAAAAAGAGGAAGATGATGATTAAGTGATGATGGTGAATAAATATTTCAATGAATTATGCTTGGAACTGATAATGCAATAGTAGAAACATGGGGGGGGAACAAGTTGAACGACAGGCAGATGCAAACACGAAAAGTAAAAATGGATTGACGAAAATTATGAAAAAAAAGATAAAAAACTTTTGAAAGTGAGAGAGAGAGAAGGAGAAAGAGAAAGAGAGAGAATAACTGAAGAGTGAGAAAATGACGAGTGAGTAGAATGAAAAGAGCACGAAAAAAAGACAAAAAGAATGATTAAACAGATAAAAAGAAAGAAAGCAAAAGAAGAAGTTGAAAGAGAGAGAGAGAGAGAGAGAGAGAGAGAGAGAGGGAGAGAGAGAGAGGAAGAAAGACACGTATAAAAGATGAAACATGTGTGCTGTGTAGATAAGCAAGATGCTTCTCA